AGGAACGTGGTACCACCTTTTAATTGCTATTGTTCCCACATTCAACCTGATCCGAGGTGGTAGCACCTGTTAAGGCCCCAGTTATGGGAAATTAGTAAACCACCAAGCAAAAGCAAAATATTACGAAAGTATAAAAATACATTTTTATAGCAAAAATGCCAGTAATATATTTTTATATAAGAAAATAACCAATACACATGCCTAGTAAAATAACCAACGATACATATTTATAGTGAAATGACAAATAATATATTTTTAAAGCAAAATGACCCACAATACCTTTTATCTGCAGTTGAAAGCATACAATTGCGTTCAAAATGTATTTAGTTGAAGCCATAAAATTGTGTTCAAAACATCTAAATTTCGCCATTAAATAACCCATAGAGGTGTTGATATACCGCTAAACAAAATCAACCAGCCAAACAATCAACATGAAAAAATTTTTCCATGACATTAATTTATATATCTTACAATATCTCAAAGAAATCAAACTCTATTTCGAAAATATAACTTCAATAAAACTACAACATAATTCACACATTTAGTAATTATGTCAATACAAACATTTATATGCACAAATGCTGAGTATCATCTACCATGTATTCAATTGTGAAAGCAGAATAACATATATCATATATTTATTACTTAAACCTCCCAAGAAAATTAAATTTCGCTATTAAATGACCCATAAGGAGTTGATGTGTCATTAAACAGATAAATCAGATTAATCATCATTGATCCTTTGACCGCTTCAATCTTCGAGTGTGGGGACCGAAGGTCAGAAAAAACAGACAATCTACTCCAAGTTGATCCATTGGCGGTGGCTCTCAGGTGTTCCGCCATTGTAATGTCCGTCCATTCGTTGATGTTGTCTGACCAGCTTTTTGTATTACCGTCCTCGCTTGCATCCGCCTTCAACAGTGCCTTGCATGATGGTTTTGCAGAGCTTGTTAAGCCGTGTGACGAGGCCAAACCGTGACATCTGGCGCTTAATAAAGGTGAGGAGAGATTCCTGTCGGCCTACGAGGTCTTTGACCTTGCTCCGTAGATAGTCATTCGTTTCGTGTTCCCAGCAGTAGATACGGAATAGCTTTCTCAAGCATTTGTTTTCGAACGTCTGAATACTTTTCCCTGCCTTGAACAGCACTGTCCAAGTCTCACATCCGTAGAGGATGGATATGATCAACGATTTGTAGAGCTTAAACTTAGTATGAAAGTTGATGTTCCTCTTCCATATCCTTTCCAGTCTGGCCATTGATGTTGTGGCTGTGGCGATCCGTGTGTGGATTTTTACGTTGCAGGTGCCATCTTTTGACAAGGTTGCTCCCAAGACAAAGTTAGTTACGTTCCATCATCGCCGATCTGACCCGGGACTACCAACGATCAAGATGAACGGAGGTCCTCTCGGGGAAGCACCGTGCCGTGAAAAGACTGTTGGGCCTCAGACTCACACCTGACCTCAAGTGGATCTCTTACATACGATCTATTGTTAAGGATGCAGGTAAAATCGTCGGCCTCCTGTACCGCTCCAGTAAGTGCCCGATTCCTCTCGCTATCCTCTATCTTTATAAGAGCTAGATCAGGCCAAAAATGGAGTACTGATGATATTTCTGGGCAGGAGCTGCCAAGGCCTCACTCTCCAGTCTTGAGTTCAAAAGCGTCTTCGAGTCCTTGTGGGTAACGAATTATTCTCCACCCTTCAGCTCCTCTCTCACAGGCGGAATGTGGCATGTCTCTTACTGCTCTACCGCTACTAACATAAAAAAGTGCCCTGATGAGCTACATTCCCTAGTACCGCCAAGGTAAAACTTCATGACAAGAACACGCCATGCCACTTACATAATAGCAAAGTACCCTATTCCCGGCATATTCCATCATTGAGAAGTAAGTTCAAGATGAACAGCTTCTTATCACGAACCACTGCCCTATGTTACCGACTCCCAACAGTATGTTTCCCCAATCACTACAATCTTAACCTATTCAAGGCTAAACGTAATCGTTACCTCCCTCACCTATACACATGACCTCATAACGTAACTCTCTACCTCGAGTGGCCCACGGGCTTTGTAAAGGGTGACTCTCACTGTAAAAGAAAGTATTTGAAGCTGGACACTTCCTCCGGTGGTTCGCCGTCCTGGGTGATGCTGGCACTGGTGTTGTGTGTGCTGTTCACCGTTACTTTGGATTTGTTCCATTCTATACGCGCCGGGTTTTTTTAACGAGTTTGATGGTCAGGTCTTGCAATTCACTGTTACCGTCCGCTATAAGGTAAATATCGACTTCGAAATGCAGGTTGCAGACAGGTCTACAACCAATAGAGATAGAAATACTATGATCGTAGAGGGTTTCCATCATAATACTGTTCATTATCTTTTTTTAATGTCCCACAGAAAAACATACCGTTTTCTGTAGCCAAAACACTCTCACTATTAGTTGCAGCAATTCTGTTACGGTGTGACCAGGCAGCAATAGGCTTTAGTAAATTAATCCATACGACAACACCAAAATGATCAGAAGGGTATTTTAGGAGTGAAGTTTTCTTTTTTATTTCTTTTTTTTCCGAGCCGAAAGAAAGCCAGGTTTCCATTTATCATACAGAAACAATTTTTCATCAACCCTAAGCACCCGATCAACATAAAGGCCATGTTTGAAATGAACGAGGAAATTGCAGCAAGTTCCAAATATGCGTGTGCCTGATTATCAGTTAAATCGCGGTGAACTCACTTCAGAATTCTCTTCGACTTGCTAACTTATACCAGATGTTTTTGCTTCCAATGGCCAACGGGTTTCTTTCCGAATGAACCTCCACGTCCGCCTTCATATCTTTATTGTCGAATGACGACTTGCGACCACAGCCAAAATCATTCTCAAATTAAAATAATTTCCAATGCATTCTTATAGTAAAATCATTTTCAATGCATTCTCATTGTAAAATTATCTACAATGCTTTCTTATAGTAAAACCATTTCCAATGCATTCTCATTGTAAAATTATCTATAAGGCTTACTTATAGTAAAAGCATTTATAATGCATTCTTATAGTAAAATCATTTCCAATGTATCCTTATATTAATATCATTTCTAATGCTTTCTTATACTAAAACCATTTCTAATACATTCTTATAGGTAAATTATTTCCAATGCATTTTTATTGTAAAATTATCTACAATATTTTCTTATAGTAAAACCATTTCCAATGCATTCTTATAGTAAAATCATTTATAATGCATTCTTATAGTAAAATCATTTTCAATGCATTCTTATTATAAAATTATCTATAATGCTTTCTTATAGTAAAATCATTTCCAATTCATTCTTAAAGTAAAATCGTTTCCACTTCATTCTTATACTAAAATGATCTTCAAAGCATTCTTGCTTAATTCTGTTTTGCAGGAGACATTTTTTGTTAGAGGAGGCGATAATACACTCACGTGTTTATTCTAAATACAAATCGAGTATTATGTATGTACTAATCGAATTTTGGTATATAAAAATTTTTAAGAACTAATCGAAAACGCATTAATCGAAAACGCATTAATCGAATTCGCATTAATCGAGGGATGCCTGTATTGGCAATGAAAAGATTTATCTTACCATCGTTTCTGCATTTGGTACATTGCATTTGCATTTGCTTTCATTTTTAGGTTCTTTGCCGCTGCAGTAGGTGTATTATGACTTATCTGCACTTATTATTATTATTATTATTATTATTATTATTATTATTTTATTATTATTATTATTATTTCCTTTGATTTCTGCTGTGTAGTCATTTCTTTTCAGGTCCTGCCCAAAGAGATAAGGTCAGAAATGGCATCATACCATTTTCCACTGAGCAATTGAAAAACACAAACATATTTTACATAGATAAAACCTTTCGTAAGTTGTGGGCTGTACTCGTGAGAACAATTTTGTTTCTTTAAGGCATGGGCTTCCAGGAATCCCTTCAGTGAGTTTATTGGAATCTTTTTCAATCAATCCGAGGTCTCCAGCTACAAAACGTATTGTTGATGTTCTCATGTGCCACGTTTTTGAGATTTCGATTTCAAGGTACTTACATTTTGATAGTCTTTTGAAGATCTTCAAAGACACCATAGTTTTTTTGGGTTTTTTTGCGGTCTCTAATAACGATGCCAGGGGGATTGGCATTGTTCTGAGTGATATTCATACCAATTTCTTTCAGTTTCCTTTCCGTAGAAGCTGCAGATTTATTATTATTATTATTTTTATTTCCTTTGATTTCTGGCGTGTACACATTTCTTTCCGGGTTCCGCCCAGAGAGCTAAGGTTAGAAATGGCATCATGACACTTTCCACTGACAAAAAAAACAAAATTACATGGATAAAGCCCTCCGAAAAGTGTGGACTGTACTTGTGAGAACATTTTTATGTATTTCTTTGAGGCATGGACTTCCAGGAATCCCTTCATTTAGTCTACTGGAATCTTTTCCAACCAATCCTAGGGCTCCAACTACAACAAGGATTGTTGATGTTCCCATATGCCACATTTTCGAGATTTCTATTTCAAGGTCCTTGTATTTTGACAGCTTTTTGAATATCTTCAAAGATACATTGCAGTCTGCAGAGACTGCCATATCAATAAGGAGGCACTTTTTTTGTTTGTAGTCTTTAATAACAATGTCTGGGCGGTTGGCTTTGATTGTTCTGTCAGTGTGTATTGTGTAGTCCCATAAAATTGTAACAGGTCCTATCTCTGTAACCGGGTCTGGGTGGTGTTCATACCAGTTTCTTTCAGTCTTCTTCCCGTAGAAGTTGCACATTTTCCAGTGCAGATATTGGCCCACTTTGTTATGCCGGGTTTTATAATGTTTTTTTTATGTTTTTCTTTATTATACATGTTTGATTATATGTCCTGTACATTGTGTAATTTGCGGGTATATTTTTGACCGTTTTTGCTATTTGAATTAGTTGTTTATTCATGAATACACTTGTTTCTATTTTTTTATTAACGACAATGTTCTTAATGTGTTGATATTTTTTTTAGATTCTTTTTCGTCTTGCAAACTTCCGTTTCTTCTCTCTTTCTTGGCCAACCATTTTTAAAGCATTTCTTAGTACGGTATTGTTTTCTTTTCTGGGCTTTCTATTTATTGTCCATGTTCCGTTCTGATGGTCAGATTAAATACTGTTTTAGTGTTTTTTCTTTCTTTCTTTCTTTTTTCCTTTCTTTTGGTTGGGTTTTCTTTATCGTTAACTTCTTGTTCCGTGTACATAGGAATCGCATTCTTTATTCCGTTTTCTGTTGCTAACCCATGGATTGTTCTGTTAAAAACTTATCTCTATACTGTCCATTGCTCTCTCTCTCTCTCTCTCTCTCTCTCTCTGATTTTTCTCTCTCTCTCTCTCTCTTTCTCTCTCTCTCTCTCTCTCTCTCTCTCTGATTTTTCTCGCTTTCTCTTTTTTCTTACCTCTTGACAATTCTTTGTTTAACTGTTTCTTTCTCGGCACCACTCTACCTGCCTTACCTCACTTTTCAACTCTGTCCCTTTCTTTCTGCCTTTCTGTCCTCCTCTTTTTCGCACTTTCTATGTCTTTCTCTTTCATCCCCTTTCTCTTTCTCTCTCGCTTCTCACTCTTATATAATATCTATCTACCTCTTTAGCTCTATCTATCCCTCCTTTCTCTTTCATTCATTCTTTCTTTCTTTTTTTCTTCTTTCTGTCACTCGTTTATCTTCTTTCTCTCCATTTTCTTTTTGTCTTTCTCTTCTTCGTTTGAGCTTTCTTTTCTTTCCTTCACTTTCTTTTCCAGTCTCATTCTATATCTACCTCTATTCTATTATCTCTCTCTCTTTTTCCACTCTCTCTCCCTCTCTATATTCCCCTCTCTCTCCCTCTCTATATTCCCCCCTCTCTCTCTCTCCCTCTCTATCTCCCCCCTCTCTCTCCCACTCTCTCTCTCTCTCATTCGGTGTTGCATTCTGCTCCGTTCTTTCAATATTTCTTCCCCATGTCTCTCACACTTTCTAACACTTTCTCTTCCAAAATATTTTCTACTTATCCTCTCTTTCCATTTTTTTCCTCTCCCTCTCTTTCCACTCATTCTCTCTCTCTCTCTCTCTCTCTCACTGTCCCATTGTTTCCCTGTTCTCTCTCATAATTTCTTTCTCTTTCTCCCTGATTCTTACATACTTTATATCTACCTTCTTTCTCGTTCTCTTTTCTACCCTATTTCTAAGAGTAAAAGGATTATGTAGCGCCAGACATCCAAGTATTCTTTTTCTTGTTTTCACCTGGCTTATAACTTTGTTATACTCAAATATAAACATCTATGTGTTCGGTTTTGCCTCTTATATGTGCCATGTCCCTTCATGGCTCTCCACAATTTCCTGTTCTTTGTAACATTGCCTTGGTTTCGCTTGGTGTGTTTTACGGTATATCAACCTCAATGGGTTATTTAATGCTGACAAGATTTTTATTGTTGCTAATATATTTTCCAAAAATGCATAGCTGCTAATATTTTTTTTCTTCAAATATGTATTCTTGGTAATATTTCTTTTCCAAAAATGTATTGCTGGTAATATTTTTTCGAAAATGTATTGCTGGTAATATTTTTCCAAAAATATATTGCTGGTAATATTTTTCGAAAAATATATTGCTGGTAATATTTTTTCCAAAAATGTATTGCTGGTAATATTTTTTCAAAAATGTATTGCTGGTAATATTTTTCCAAAAATATATTGCTGGTAATATTTTTTCCAAAAGTGTATTGCTGGTAATATTTTTTCAAAAATGTATTGCTGGTAATATTTTTTTTTCTAAAATGTATAGCTGGTAATATTTTTCCAAATTTATATTGCTGGTAATATTTTTTTCCAAAAATGTATTGCTAGTAATAATTTTTTCTTCAAAAATTTATTGCTGCTAATATTTTTTACAAAAATGCATTGCTGATATTAAAACCTATTTTTTACACTTTCATAGGGCTTTGAACTCAATTTGGGGGTTAACCATTTGCCCTTAGCTGGGACCCTAACAGGTGCTACTACCCTGGGTTAGGATGGACCTGGGAGCACCAGCAATTAAGAGGTCGTTCTGTGCTCCTCAAAATCTCCTGATCAAATGCCTTGCAGTCGGATGTAGTTTCTCATCTTACCCAGGACGCGGATCTAGTTTGTAGTGTTACCCAGGTTTATCGTCTTAGCCATGACGCCATTTGTAACTTTTAATAACTTTTGCCTTTTTTCCTTCTCTCCCAAGCCCTGCTCCGCGTTCCATTCCCTCAAGCTCGCCATACAGGTTGTGCATTGCTATCCTCTGACCCTATTAACATCAATGTGTCCTGTTAGTATCAAATTTTCCAAGCCTTCTTTTCTCATTATGCGCTACGATGTTAAGCATAAGCGTACTTTTTGTTGTCTCATGAAATTCATTTTCGCTCACATCTCCAGCCCCTGGTACTTCCAGCTTCCATCTGTAGAATGACATTTCTTTTGCTTCAAGTCTCTTCTTCATCTTTGAGGAGATTATCCAGTATTCACTGCCATATAAGAGGACTGATACTACATAACAGTTCAGCATTCTTTTCTTTCTTTCGAATTATATTTTTCTGTTTCTTAATACTTTGCTTCGATTTTGGAAGGCATCTTTCATTATCTCAATGCGCCTACGGATTTCAGTGTTGCACTTTCGGTCCTCTTTTAATACGCTTCTCAGATATACAATTTGTTGCATCTGTTTGATTTCCGTATCCCCAATTTGTAATTTGCATGTTGAATTCTCCCTTTTGCTAACAACCATGCACTCAGTTTTCTTGCAATTAGTCCTTTCTGCAACTATCTCTCACTTTCTCTTTGCCTCTCCCGTCTCTCCCGTCTCTCTCTCTCTCTCCCTCTCTCTCTCTCTCTCTCTCTCTCTCTCTCTCTCTCTCTATATGTATATATATATATAAACCTAAAGAGCCGGGTAAACTGGCCAGTTTACCCTGACGATCCGTTTAGGTGAAACCTAGGTAGATTTACCTGGTTCTTTAGGTTTATATTAGATTTGCTCTACTTCGTTTAGTCAGCACTTTACGTAGTTGCTTTTGCTCGTTTTAGAGGTGGGGACTCTGA